CGAAGTACGTATTAAGAATCTTATATGATGACAAAGGAATCTATCTTTCAAAACGAATTGACCCAAATAAGGAAATGTATAATTTATGGCAAACAGTCAGTAGGAAAGTTGAACTAGGAGAATCATCGATAAGGATTATGATTCGAGAAATTGATGAAGAAACTGGAATACAATTGGATGAAGATCGCTTAGAATACATTTTAAATGATCTTACATATAATTGTGACGTATATAAAGTAAAGCTAAACAAAGAAATACCTCAACATATTGAACCTACCAAACATAGTGATTGGCGACATTTTGAGTTTGATGAATATTTACAAATAGCTGGTCTAAATGAACTAACACCAATGCATAATAAATATGGAGAACTTTTCATATCTAAATTAAAGGAACACATTATTACTAGTAATACAGCACGTGATGAACCTATCAAGGATGCATTATTTATTGAAGAATATCCTGTAAATGTTCTAGTAGATACTGGATCTGTAGGAAGTATCATTACTCAGTAGTATCTTAGGCAAATCAATAAGAAAATCAATGAACCTGCAAAAATAAAAATCATGGGGGTGGATGGAAAAACCATGATGCCTTTAGGAACAATTAAAGGAGTTACAGTAGAAGTTAATGGAATAATTGTTAATGAAGATATGCTAGTAATCAATGCTATGGGTTATAATATTATCTTAGGAAATACTTGGTTGCAAAAAGTTCGTGCAATCATTGACTATGATACTGGTATTCTAGTTGTATAACAAGGAGATCAAACTTCTACGATACCTATAACTTGCACGCAGGATATACATCCAGGAAGGTTTACACCAATCAAACCTAAAATAACAGTAGATGAATTAGAATTTGAAGAGGAAGAAAATATTGATATTCAACAATGTTTTGCTATTATTCCCAAAGAAAAAGGAAAGTAATCCAAATAAATAGGAAGGAATATCCTGAAATATATTTACAACAAATTGAATATGAAATGGATGTACAATAAAATAGAAATTGGACAGGACCGATTACATATTGATGTTTGAAAAATTTAGGAAATAAAGGCCAATGTGATGACTGTAGAGAAATAGTAAGGACAGTACAAACTTATCAATACTATAGGAATAGTATAGACCTACAAGCTACCTATAAAGTTCAAATTGAAGAAAATGATATTCGAATAGAAATTGGTAATGATTCAGGAAAATATACAACCTGTGGAAAATTAACAGATGTCTCTTTAAAACAATTAAAAGTATTTCTTGAGAAAAATCCTAATAGTTTTGCAACCACAATATAGGAATTGACACATTCAGAGCAATATGAATATAGTATATTTACTGAAAATATACCACCAGTTGCACTAAAATTATATCGAACGTCAGTAAAAGATGATCAGTATATTCAGCAGGAAATTTAAAATATGTTAGACCAAGAGATTATACGACTTTTTCAAAGTCAATAGAGCTCACCTGTAGTTCTTGTAAGGAAAAAGAATAGAAAAATGAGATTTTGCGTAGACTATAGGAAATTAAATAATATAACAATAAAAGACCGATATCCTTTACCAAGGATTGATGAATTATTAGAATCCTTAGGAGGAGCAACATGGTATATTACTTTAGATTTAGCTTCAGGGTACTGGCAGTTCAAGGTCAGGGAACAGGACAAACCCAAAACAGTATTTATTACAAAACATAGGTTATATGAATTCAATGTAATGCCATTTGGGTTGTGCAATATACCAGCTACCTTTCAGCGAGCTATGGATAATATATTACGAAAAATAAAAGAAAAATTTGTATTAGTATACCTTGATGATATTATCATATTCTCCAAAAGTTATGATGAACATTTACAACATCTCCAACAAGTTTTTAATTTATTAAAGGAAGCTCAATTGAAAATAAATCCAGAAAAATGCCATTTCTGCACAAATAAAATTCAATTTTTAGGACATGTAATATCAGGACAAGGGATACAATCTGATCCAGCAAAGATTGAAAAAATCATCAACCTCAACGCTCCATTCAATATTAAACAATTACGAATTGTATTAGGATTATTCTTTTATTACCGACGTTTTGTTAAAAATTACTCTAAATTAGTAGCCTCATTGAACGAATTGCTGAAAAAGGATGTGCCTTACAATTGGATAAAACAACATCAGGAGATTTTTGAAATACTTAAGGAAAAATTGATGACTGCACCAATCTTATCCTACCCTGATTTCAATCAATCTTTTATTTTAAGTACTGATGCAAGTACTATAGGACTAGGTGCAGTACTTTCACAAAAAGATAATGAAGGAAGAGAACATCCTATTTAGTATGCAAGCAGAACATTGAGCCCAGCTGAGAAAAATTATCATATTATTAAACAAGAGGCTTTAGTAGTAGTATAGGCAATTAAATATTTTAGGAGGTACTTAGAGGATAATATATTACTATATACACTGATCACTCAGTATTACAGTGGTTATTGAATCAACTTACTAAAGAAAGGATAGTAAAAGGATTATTCGTTAGAAGATTTTATTACAACAATTTCAATTTGAAGTAAAATATTGCAAAGGAAAGGCAAATGCAAACGTTGATACTCTCTTCAGGATTGATGAATTACAGGCACCAAATACATCACAAACCCCAACATCAATAATAGATCATGGATAAGCAACAATACCAAAATATAATTCAATATCTTGCTAACTTCACTTACCCAGAAAATTGCAATACCTCTGAATGGAAATAAATTTAACGATTATCAACCCATTACATTGTTAAAAATTCACAATTATACAAATCAACCAAGGAGGGATTAAAAAGAGTAATTACACAAGAACAAGTGGAAGTACTCTTATTTAATTTATATAAAGATATGTCAGGAGCCCATCTAGGAATTGAAGCAGTATATAATAAGGCTAAAGAACGATATTATTGATCTCAAATGTTTGAGAATATGTGAAAAATTGTGACAACTGTCAACAAAGAGAACCAAGTATTAGAAAAGAACCATTATATTCTATTTTAGTCAAAGTATCTTTTCATTGAGTATGATTAGATATAAAAGGACCGTTATCTATTACAAAAACAGGAAATAGGTACATAATAGTCACTATGGATTACTTTACAAAATGGTCAGAAGTTAAAGTCATTAAGGATATCAAGGCTGACACAATAGCAAAATTTCTATATGAAGAAGTGATATGCCAACATGGTGCACCTGAAAAAATACTTACAGATCAAGAAACGTCATTCATGAATCAGGTAATAGCACAATTATGTCAAAAGTTTCAAACGAAACATCGATTGACATCACCATATTGATCTCAAACAAATGGAATAGTAGAAAGATTTAATCGAACTATAGGAAAGTATTTAGCCAAACTAGTATACGATCAAGAAAATGAATGGGATACTTACGTCTCATCAGTATTATTCGTTTACCGAACAATAAAACATAAAAGTACAGTTTACATTCCATTTTACTTCATGTATGGACAACAAGCAATGTTACCAATAGATTTACAATTAAATTCTGTGAAACAGATGAGCAAAATATTAACGATGCTCTGATGAATAGATTAACAAATTTAATTGACAAATTAAAACAAGATAAATAGGATGCACTTAATAACATGAATCAAACACAAGAGCGACAAAAAGATCAGTATAATGATCAGCGAGTATCAGAAAGATTAAAAATTGAAGAGAAAGTTCTAGTTGAGAAAACATGGAAACGACAAGATATGTCAACCAAATTGGAAGCTCAATAGATTGGTCCTTATTATATTCATGATATAATTGGTTTCAACAATTACAAATTAAGGTCACTAAATGGACGAATAGTTAAAAGAACAGTACATGGTGATCGACTGAAGAAATATAATGAACAAAAAATGGAACCAATGATAATTATTTCCTAAATGAGATACCAGTCTTAATATACTTCTGACGATCAATAATTATAATATAAATAGATTCAATTTTTATTAAAATAATAATAACAAGGAAAAGATGTCACAAGAATATCAACGGATATATTTTGATTTATTAGAACTTAATCTATCTAACGTAATATTACCACACTTGCCTGATATATTTTCTCAAGACTTAAGTATGAAGATAAAAAATACTATTTCAGTATATACGATGACAAATAGTTACAAGAAAAAGAAGAGGATCTTTAATTTATCTTTATTATATAGGAGAAATAATTGACAAAGAAAATATTTCGCAAAAATATTCAAAATTATCAAAGTATTATTATACTGCAGCAAAACGATTATTTCTTATTTTTGAAGACAATATTGAACAAATCATAAGAACGCAACATATTAATATTCAAATGGTGAAAAGACTTAAAATTAATAAACTCAATGAAGTAATACAATAGAACTCTATATTGAAGGACCTGATCTTGAAATAGAAATACAAAATCATTAAATCAAAATTTAGAAGTTAATATTATGTGATAAAAAAAAATATATATATATTATTATTATATAAATATTTATTCTCATTATTTTATTGAAAAATTTTATAGGGTAAAAGCGTAGTAATATATAAAATTTTATTGAAAACAAAAGATAATAAAATACATCAATATAGAGGAGAAAAAGAAAATACATTTATAAGAAACTATCTAGGATAACTATTGCTAGCTAAAAAAAATAAAGAAAGAGAGCGTAGTCTATAAAACGGCTAAAAAGGCAACAGCAAAGCGTAGTTCTATGATAGGCAAAAATGCAAACGACATCTCTCCCTGAAAAGATATTTAGTAGTAAATTAATCATTAAGAGGCATGTGATAAGGAAAATTAAATTCTTCACTTCTCTGACGAAGTTGCTCCAATATTCTCCTAAAGTTTCTTTGTATTTGATCTAAATTGTTCTGAAGATTTTGAACAGATTGGACATCTTCATAACTTTGAAGGCGATTAATATCAGCTCTTGCGTAATTATACTAAAATAGAAGGCTCTCGTATTCTACTTCAAGGTCTCAATATCAATATCTATTATGAGATAAACGAGAAGACAAATGACGAATTTCGTTAGATAAGCTATTTACTTGAGATAAAGAGGAATTCAATAGTTGTTGAAGCCTGTGATTTTCAATATCAAGTTCATTTATTCTTCGTTGTTTAGTCTCTTCTTCTTGATTTTGAAGGTTATATTAGCGGCGTGAGAAAAATTGCTTGCGAAAATTCTTGCCCATGTTGAAATTATAAAAGTAAAAATATTTCAAGAAAAGTTTGGAATTTTACAATAATTTTAGAAGGAAAAGCAAAATTTAAAGGAAATAGATGAAAATTTTAAATGAATATTTATACATGAAGGAAGTGGCTGTGTCAAACTCTTAGAAATTCTCAAGATCATGAGAATTTCCTTTTCTGTAAAACATAAATAAATGATTATTGAATAATTATTTATTGATAATCATCATATAGAATCACACAATTGATCAGCAAAATTCGCAATACTATCACGCAATCAATCAGCAAATTACAATCCCATAGAATAATTTAAAATGAAATAGAATATTTTAGAAAATTTGTTATTTGGAAATCTATAAACAAAGAATTTTATAAGTAACAAATATTTTGGAAATTCACTGGAGTTTATTTTTAAAAGGGGGGATACTGTTATAGGAAAATATTAATCTAAAAAATCATGTAACACATGTGACTAAAAAGGCATATTGACTGCATCACGTTAAATGATGAAGACGGTGAAGACAAGAGAAATGGATTAAACAAAGATTACATGAAAAACCCAGAAGTCGCCAGAAAATTCTATTATATTATTAATCATTTTATATTATTAATCATTTATTATTTATAATCAATTAGTATTTTATTTATTTATATTAG